TTTAGAGACAGGGTCTCCCTGAGTTGCTGAGGGCCTTGCTAAGTGGCTGAGGCTGGCTTTGAACTCACCATCCTCCTGCCTCAGCCTCCCGAGCCGCTGGGATGACAGRTGTGCGCCACGGTGCACAGTTTGGAAGAATTATTGATGACACCACAGAGCTTGGGGACATGATGGGGAGCACCTGCTTGGATTGCACCGACGAGGAGCAGGACAGAGGCCCCGGACCCAGCCAGCAGCACTCAGTGCTCCTCCTCACCACCTCGTGGGGTCAGGAGTGAGGGGAGGACAGGAAGTTCTGCTGCTCTAGGGAGACYCTCCAGCTCAGGGGTGCATGAAATCAACATGGGTTGGCTTTCTCTGCCACTAGAAGCCACCTGCACTGACCTCAGACCACCCCCACTGATGGCAGAGATCTCCTACAATGTGCCAGACCTGCTCTTGGTGACATGGACGCAGGACAAAGCAGTGGTCACCAAATCCATGATGTCAGACCAGAAAACGTCACAGCCGCAGGGAACATGATTCAGACGGTGGCGAGGAGGGGARGACGGGCCAGCCCCATGGGACCGAGAGGGCAAAGAAAGGTTCTTTGGTGAGGTGACATTTGGGACAGATGGACACAGCAGGTCTGGGTTAGGGCTGCCTCTAAAGGACGCACCTTGGGCCAGGTTTCTTCCTTCTGTTCATATGGGGTTTTTAATAGCTTGTTTTCTTCTTCATGATTAAAAACTTACACACACGATCATCTACATGGGCAGAAAGAATGATCCTGAGAAGGTGATTGGAAAAATTAAGATCCTGTCGGGTGCCACGGCCCACGCCTGTCATCCCAGCAGCTCGGGAGGCTGAGGCAGGAGGATCGTGAGTTCAAAGCCAGCCTCAGCCACTTAGTGAGGCCCTAAGCAACTCAGTGAGACCCTGTCTCTAAATAAAATACAAAATAGGGCTGAGGATGGGGCTCAGTGGTTGATGGACCCTGGGTTCAATTCCCTGTACCAAAAAAAAAAACCCAAAAACCTGAACCTGTGTCACCACTGAGAGGGGCTTGGACTCTATTTCCAGTAAATGGCCTAAGTCATACTTAAACACCATACTACCATTGAGCCCCACCCACAGCCCTGATTCCCAGGGAAGCCATCTGAATGGCAGTTGAGCATCTCCCTGTGGCCTACAAGAGACTCTGTCCCAGATGGAGGTGTGGGCCTCACACATGGACTCAYGAGAATCTGAATCAGGGACCAGTGAAGTGGACGCAGAGAGCAGGAGATGTGAACAGACAGGAGGCCGTGTGGGGAGGGGCGGGGGAGGGGCCAGAAGCCAGGAAGCCAATGGCAGGCTGTGACCACAGGCAGGAGGGGCCACCCCTTACCAAGCAAAGGAGCCAGGTGGGAGTCACCAAAACAGCCGGCACACAAATCATCCAGAAAGCAGGCAGCGATATGTGTTGGCGAGGATGTGGGGAAAAGGTAAGGCACACTCCTACATGGCTGGTGGGACTGCAAATTGGTGCAACCACTATGGGAAGCAGTTTGGAGATTCCTCAGAAAACTGGGAATGGAACCACCATTTGACCCAGCTATCCCACTCCTTGGTCTATACCCAAAGGACTTAAAATCAGCATACKACAGTGACACAGCCACATCAATGTTTATAGCAGCTCAATTCACAATAGCTAAACTGTGGAACCAACCTAGATGCCCTTCAACAGATGAATGGATAAAGAAAATGTGGTCTATATACACAATGGAATATTACTAAGCCATAAAGGAGAATGAAATGATGGCATTTGCCAGTAAATGGACGGAACTGGAGACTATCCTGCTGAGTGAAATAAGCCAATCCCCCAAAAACCAAAGGCCGGATGTTTTCTCTGATGTGTGGATGCTGATTCACAATAACGGCAGGGGGAGAATAGAGGCACTTTGGACCAGGCAGAGGGGAGTGAAAGAGGGGAGGGGTAGGGAGTAGGAAGGATAGTAGACTGAATCAGACATTATGACATTATGTGCATGTATGACTACACGACAGGTGTGATTCTACATCAAGTACAACTGAAGAATGAGAAGTTATTTTCCATCTGTGTATGATAGGTCAAGATGCACTCTCCTGTCATGTATAACTAATTAGAACAAATTATATATAAATATATATATATTATATATTTTATATTATATATAAAATATATAATTTATATATATAACAAATATATATAAAATCACAGGCCTGACTACCCGTTAACCTATGTGGCAGAGGGACTGAGTCAGCCTTAGATCCCGTGCCAGCTGTCACCCACCGTCCCTCCCAACTACCCAGTTCATGCTCTCCTCGCTCAACATCACTCTAGATTCTTTTGCTTCCACATTTTTTAATTGGTGCATTGGGGTCATACATAATGGGACCTCCCTATATTCTTGAGTAATCGTGAGGCATGACCATGCGGCTAACATTCTGGGCTTCTGGTTTATTAAAATCCCGATTTTATTCTCCTCACCAAAAATATAAGGCACAACCTCAGAATGAGTCTCTGCTCCTGGGAATAACAATTTGGTACAATTGAATGAAAATTCCTGAGCAATTGGCTCATCATTGGCCCAGCAATCGCACTTGTGGCAWCTTGAACATAAACCTTCAGATCCCACAAAAGTGAACACCCACAAGGTTATTCCTTGCAGCACCGTTTGAAATTGCAAAATGTTGGAAGTAACATAAAGGCTCAGATATAGGAAAGTGGTTGAATAAAGTATGTACCTAGTGTGGAGTGGAGTAGTGTACAACTGTGGAAAAATAAGAGAGGAAATCTTCATGAGCGGATGTGTGGGGCAGTTTCCAGACATCAAAGGCCGTTTCACCATTAAAATCCTAAAGGGTCCTGGACGCGTGTCACACGCCTGTACTCTCAGTGGCTTGGGAGGATAAAACAGGAGAATCACAAGTTCAAAGCCAGCCTCAGCAACTTAGCCAGGCCCTAAGCAACTCAGTGAGACCCTGTCTCTAACTAAAATGCAAAATAGGGCTGGGGATGGGGCTCAGTGGTTGAGCACCCCTGGGTTCCATCCCTGGTACCAAAAAAAAAAAAAAAGTATTTTGGTCACATTGATCTACCAGTCTGCTGGAACAGAAAGCACATAAATTGCAATTAAATTTTAAAAAGATTGTCTTGAAGAAGATTTCTCCAACACACTGAAATTGCACTGCATCGACCAGCAGCGGATTCAACCATCCAAGACAGAGGAGGCGAAGGCATTGAGCAATTAGACCCCTGCCGTAGGCCAGGGGCAGGTCGGAACCAGGTGGACTGCCTCATCCATGCCATTTAGACCCGTTTCATTTCGAATGTTCTCGAGCAGGGCTCGCGGAGGGCTCGTGGCGGCTGGGTTGGAGGCTTAGGGTGGCAGCCGTTCGGAACCCCGCTGGGACTTGGCCTGTCCACCCGCTGCTCCTTCTCTGCAAAGGCCACAGCGGGGCGGGTGCAGTACCGAATGATGGCCAGCAGAGGGCAGCAGCGCCGCTGGGACCAGGATCCTGCTCCCAGGTCCGCCTGGCGACAGGGACTTGCAGGCCTGGTGGGCATGGCCGCGGGCAGCCCTTGCAAAAGGTGCGGGGAGCACTCCGGAGATCCCTGTAGATGGACACAACACTTGGCATGAAACAGCCATTCTGGGCGTTTTCTAAATATCTCAGGAGAAAAAAAGATAGGAAAGAATCAAGTCATGTAAAACCAAATAGAGTCACACACCATCCCCCCCCCCCCCCCCCCCCCCCCCCCCCCCCCCGCCTCCCACTGTTAATCTAGTTCCAAGTGAAGCAAAAGATCCTAATTTTAAACCCTGATGTTCAAGACTGTTATGGTGTGGATACGTAGGAGGTGTCCCCAAAACCTCCTGGGTGGGACCATGCGGGAATGCTCAGAAGTGGATGGTCACTTTAGGGTTAGCTTTAATTTGAATGCATTGATAATGAGTGGCACCTGTGGGCAGGTAGAGCTGGATGCAGGGTTAGGTCACCGGGGCTGCCCTTGGGGACTTTAGTTCACCCTCCTCTATGTTGTTCTCCTTTTAGTCATATCCATGAAAACCTAACACAAGGACCACCTCCCCAAACACACAAATCACTGCTTCCTTTCATAGATGAGTCAACCACATATTGATTAAGGCCTATTGTGTGTTCAAATTGATAAGTGCTGGGCAAAAAAAAAAAGTTGGAGATGTAGACCTTGGCCATCAAGACAAACAAATCTAAAACTTCCTTAGAGAAATTCCAAGTCAACGAATTCTTAAAAGTTAGGATAATACCAATTAGGTGGGATTAGTCAAGGTTTTTTTTGGGGGGGGAGGGAGAGAGAATTTTTTTTTTTTTTTTTTTGTAGATGGACACAACACAATGCCTTTATTATTTTTTTTTTAATATTTATTTTTTAGATTTTGGYGGACACAACATCTTTGTTTGTATGTGATGCTGAGGATCGAACCCGGGCCGCACGCATGCCAGGTGAGCGCAAGACCGCTTGAGCCACATCCCCAGCCCAATGCCTTTATTTTTATGTGGTGCTGAGAATCGAACCCGGGTCCCGCCCGTGCTAGGCAAGCACTCTACCACTGAGCCACAATCCCAGCCTCAAGCTGAGGTTTTGTTTGCTTGGTTTTTGGTACCAGGGACTGAACCCAGGGGTGCTTAACCACTGAGCCCCATCCCCAGCCCTATTTTKTATTTTATTCAGAGACAGGGTCTCACTGAGTTGCTTAGGGCCTCGCTAATTTGCTGAGGATGGCCTAGAACTTGCAATCTTCCTGTATCAGCCTCTCAAGTCATTGGGATTATAGACATGTGTCACAGTGCCTGGCCCAGTTAGTTATTTTGAAGATAACACTTTTCATTAGTTTAAGCAATAAGCCAGTATTCTTGATTCAAGTCAAAACACAGAAAACACACATTTGAACCACGGCTACCTCTAAGACTTTGGGACTTCCTCATTTCTGATTTCCTTGGTAAATTGACTTGTTCCAGCTTGCAGGGAAACCTTTCTTTTGCTTTATTTCTTAAACTAGCCTAAGAATAATGATAATGGCATCAAACTTGTGTATAGTACTAAGCATGTACCAGGTACTTGTTAAAAGTCCCAGGCCTAAGAAGCCATTTATTCCATATGACAAACCTAGGAGAGAAATACTTTGTTTAGACTCTTTTTATGTTGCTATAACAAAATACCACAGACTGGGAGATTTATAAAGAAGAAAAATCTCTTTCTCACATTTCTAGGCTGGGAAGTCTAGTATCAAGGTGCCTGCCTCTGGGGAGGACCCTCTGCCACATCATAAGATGGCAAATGGCATCGTCACATGGTGAGAGGGTAGATATGCTCAGCTCTCCTGTCCTCCTTTATAAAACCACAAATGCCATCAGGGGACACCATACTTCTGACTGTATCTAACACTAATTATCTCTCCAAGGCCCCACCTCCAGACAGCATCAATTTATGAATTTGGGGATGAAGTTTCCCACAGATGAAATTTCACAGGACACAGTTAAACCAAAGGACTATAATTATTATAAGTTCAGCTGTGCTGTTTGACTTGTATTTTTCCCTCTCCCTAAGTTGCTGAGGCTGGCTTTGAGCTTAAGAGAGGTTAAGTATCCACCAAGGCCACACAGCTCATACGCAAAACAGTAGGATTTGAATTCAAAACGTCTGGATCTCCATGTTGCTAGTCATATCTTACTAATATCAAACATGGACAACACACTCCGCCACACAAAATTAAACATCCAGCTGGGCGTAGTGGTGCATGCCTGTCATCCCAATCGCTGGGGAGGCTGAGGCAGAAGGATTGTGAGTTCAAAGCCAGCCTCAGCAAAATCGAGGGGCTAAGCAACTCAGGGAGACCCTGTCTCTAAATAAAATATAGGAAAGAGCTGGGGATGGGGCTCAGTGGTTAAGTGCCCCTGAGTTCAATCCCTGGTACCCATAAACAAACAAACTTCCAGGTAGGATCAATTCACCCCCCTGCACCCCAACTTCTGTCCCTCTCCATCGATGGCTGCTGCAGGCTTGACTTCCTCTTTCCCTTTCTAAGAAAAGGCCACRTCACGTCACACCAACGAGACATCTAGCAGCCCTGTGAATTGCTTTGCTGTTTGCCTTGGGTATTTTTCCCCCMCTAAAAGAACATCATTCCCATCCTGACCTTTCCCTTCTGTACTCTGTCAATAAAACACCACTTCTGCTACTTTTTATAGAAACCCAATTTAGAAATGTGATTTAAAAATTAATCACCCAGCTCACCCAGACGGCAAACATCTGTCATCCGCCCTCCCGTTATCCCCAAGGTGATCCTGCCAGGTCAGGTGACAGCCCCCTCCCTCCACGGTCCCTACAGCATCTCCTGAATCTCTGACTCCATTTCTGTGGCAGCCCCAAGGCTGTGTGGCCCTCGGCCTACGGGTCTCCAGACCCCCATCAGTCCCCCAAATCACTGCCAGAGGCAGCTGCGGGAGGCATGGCTGGGAGCCTGGCTCTCATGGCTGGCTCTCGGGCTCTTGCTGGCCTGGGGAATGCAGGCCTGGTGGGCCAGCCGCCTGTCAGCAGGCTCCAGCTCCAGGTTACCCGCCCTGGTCCACAGGAGTCCTTCATTCTGTAGGCGAATGAGAAGRACAGAAAATAGAACAGGGTGCCCAGGAGCCAGGGGCAGGGAGCGAGGGCTTGGCGCTTTGTGGGCACAGAGCCCCTGATGAGAGCAATGGCATGTGTTGGAAATAGACGGAAGGGAGGGTTGCCCAACATGGTGAGTGCGATTAAGGCCACTGAATGGCACTTAAAAACATTTCAGGTGGTGGCACGCACCTGCTGTCCCGGCTCCTTGGGAGGCTGAAGTAGGGAAGGTTGCATCAGCCTAGGAGTTGGGGACCAGCCGGGGCTGCAGAGCCAAACCCTATTTTCAAGGAAAACAGAAAAACCTTAAAGTGTGAAATTGTGAGTGTGGCTGGCCCAACCCTGTCATTCCAGCGGCTCTGGAGGCTGAGGCAGGAGGATCATGAGTTCAAAGCCAGCCTCAGCCATTCAGTGAGAGCCCGTCTCTAAATAAAATATAAAAAGGGGCTGGAGATGTAGCTCAGTGGTCAAGCACCCCTGGGCTCAATCCCTGGTACCAAAATAAATAAATAAAGTGCCAAAATTTCATTATGCCTATTTTGCCATAATAAAAAAGGTTCAAAAAAGCCTCCTTCATGTAAGYGCAAATTCATATATTGTTCTTTTCTCTCTGACTTATTTCTTCCTTTTTTTTTTTAGCTTTTATAAAAAGAAGAAAAAAATGTTTTCTCCATATTGTTGACAACTACTTTTTTAAAAAATATTTATTCTCAAGTTTTAGGTGGACACAATATTCTTATTTTACATTTATGTGGTGTTGAGGCTGCAATCCCGAGCCTCCATGCTAGGTGAGCCTCTACCATTGAGCCACAACCCCGGCCCCAAACAACTACTTCTTGAACCTTGCAAAATTTCGTGCTTCCTCCTCCTCCTCGTTGGTGAAGTACTAGAATAAAAAATGTCCTAATGTCTCTGGTGGCTTTTGTTGCTTTCCTGCCACAAGTCTATAAACACCTTGTGTTTCTTCTCAGTGAGCATAGATAGGCCTTTTGAAACACTCAGAAATAGCCAGACAAGTCCAGGCAAGTTTATTTATTTATTTAGTTTTGGGTACCAGGGATTGAACCCAGGGGTGCTTAACCCCTGAGCCATGTCCCCAGCCCTTTTTACACTTCATTTAGAGACAGGGTCTTGCTGAGTCACTTAGGGCCTCGCTAAGTTGCTGAGGCTGGCTTTGAACTTGGGATCCTCCTGCCTCAGCCTCCTGAGCTGCTGGGATGACAGGCGTGTACAAGTGTGGTCAGCCAAGACCTATAATTTTTTTCATAATTTTCAAACAATAGCATAAATATTTTAGAGACATTAGAGGCATTTGAAGATGCAGTATAGAGTAAATAATATTTGGGAATTATTACTAACTTTCTTTGTTGTGACAGTGTTATGGGCCAGGCTATCTGGGCCATGACTAAACATTTTACCCTGAGACTCCATATCACCTAAGAAATGCTTCTCCCATGGGAAAGCCCTGCCTCTGTACCCATCAATAGTTACCTGGCATGACATAGTTGGCAACACAAAATAGCAATTCTTATGCAATGTAAAATTGTTCTCTTTGGTTTCCATTTTTTGGGGGGCAATGTACCTTGTCAGAGATGGATTGTCCAGACCTTAGTAACCATTCTCTAATCTGTACTCAACTAGGGTCATTTTGACCGCCTTCCCTTCTGCTTGCTTGCTCTATGCCAACCTAGAAAGTCCCCTGGGCAATACCAATGTGCCCATCGCATTGTCTCGCTAACTGCCTGGTCCAGCTTCTGCACCTGCTGGCTTGCAGCCACATCAAGGTTTTTGCCTTTAAGTATCCTCAAATGCGCAGGCTYGGGGCTGTTTCCTGCAGAGACCACTTGGTCCTGTAGTGAGCAGTCCCGGCCCGCTGGCTAAATAGACTCTTCAATTTGGACAAATCTGGGACTTGGTGTGTTTTCCGAGCCACGTGCCCCCACAACAACAATATGACAAAAGCTTTATTCTTCAAACTTCCATACTAGAAAACTTAGGGGTGGGATTGGAAGGGTACGACTTTATACACTTACCTCCCGCTATGACATTATTATTGTAAAACTACCGTGATCAACACAGGCTGGTATTGGTGTAGCAACAGACCCACTGGTTAATGGAGCTGGCTACAGAGTCCAGAAATCGGCTTTGAACAAAGGCAGAAATGATGCTGGACCCCGGCTTCAATCCCAGCACTGTAAAAAAAAAAAAAAAAAAAACAGTAAAAAAATAAGGGCTGGGGCTGGGGCTCAGTGGCAGAGCACTTGCCTAGCACGTGGGAGGCACTGGGTTCCATCCTCAGCACCACATAAAAATACATAGATAAAATAAAGGTATTGTGTCCATCTAAAATAGTGAATAAAATTAAAAATGGTCATGCAATTGGATCTCCATATGCAAGAAAGCAAATCTGTATCCCTACCTCTCATCCCACTAAAATATAACATGATAAACATCCTAGAAGAAAACAGAGAGGAAATTTGCAGGACCTTAGCAAATAGTTATTAGCTACAACACTGCAAAAGAATGGATTTATATATTGAGCTGCCTTTCCAATCCACACATTTTAAATTTGCAGAGCAACCCACCTATGAAGGGAGGTGTGGTTCAAACTCCATCAACAACAGYCCGGTGCATCCCCAAGAGTGGCCCYGCAGGCCTGATCTACAGTCATTGCAGTAACGGGGACGCTACGGTGGGAAGCCACAGAAATGGACTTGGGTCAACTGAAGCAAAATGAAATCAGATTCAAGGAAGAGGTGGCCCAGCACAGGAAGCAAGTGAACCCACACAGGGATCTGTGAGGGACTTCTGCAATCTGGCCAACTGCTTCAGGAAGCCAAAACGGGATGAAGGAATTCTAGAATCGGTCCTTTTTTGTTTGTTTGTTCTTTGTAGTTATCCATGACAGTGGAATGTGTGTGGGCAAGTTAGACATCCATAGAGTCTAACTTATTCTATTTAGGGTCCCACTCTTGTGATTGTGCATGATGTGAGTTACCCTGGTCATGCATTCAATAAAGGAGAGGAAAGTCATGAGCAATTAGTTCTACTCTCTTYCCTGTTCCCACCCGCCTGACTTCTTTTTGTTTCACATTGTCTAATCCAAAGGATTTCTATTATTCCCATCCCCCACCTCCCTTGTTTTGCGTTAGCATCTACAAATCAGAGAGAACATTCAGCATTTGGTTGTTTTGGGACTGGCTTATTTCACTTAGCATGAGAGTCTCCAGGTCCATCCATTTACTGGCAAATGCCATAATCTCATTCTTCTTTATGGCTGAGCAATATTCCACTGTGGATATAGGCCACGTTTTCTTTATCCATTCATCTGTTGAAGGGCACCTAGGTTGGTTCCATAGCTTAGCTGTTGTGAATTGAGCTGCTATAAACGTCGATGTGGCTGCACCACTGTAGTATGCTGATTTTAAGTCCTTTGGGTATAGACTGAGGAGTGGGATAGCTGGGTCAAATGGTGGTTCCATTCCTAGTTTTCTGAGGAATCTCCATACTGCTTTCCAGAGTGGTTGCACCCATGTGCAGTCCCACCAGCAGTGTATGAGTGTACCTTTTCCCCACATCCTTGCCAACGCTTATTGTTTCTTATGTTCTTGATAGCTGCCATTCTGAYAGGAGTGAGGTAGAATCTCAGTGTGGTATTTATTTGCATTTTTCTAACGGCTCAAGATATTGAACATTTTTTTCATATATATTTTGACCATAGAATCAGTCTTTTTATCACAAGACTGAAGAGTGGGAGAGAGAATCCATGTGGAGCAACTTGACAAGGTGCCCCCYGCCATTTCCCCAGGACCATGTACACTGAGCGGCAAAGGTATTCTTCATAGTCAGGCTGTGTCTATCACCAGGGAAGGAAGGGGTGATGCTGGACAGGGCTGTGGCCACTGCCTGCAGCGGTGTGCCCAGGGCCTTTCCAAGGTATGATGGATGTGTTCACTTCAGGCCCAGGTACCATTCTGTTCTGGCGGGTGTCAAAATGGTGTCATCACTTTGAGAATGAATAGCAACAGTCAAACTGTAAAATAGCTCTCTTTGGCCAGCATAGTGGCCCACACCTGTGATCCCAGCGGCTTGGGAGGCTGAGGCAGGAGGATCGCGGGTTCAAAGCCAGCCTCAGCCACTTAATGAGGCCCTCAGCAACTCAGTGAGACCCTGTCTCTAAATAAAATACAAAATAGGGCTGGGGATGGGGCTCAGTGGTTGAGTGCCCCTGAGTTCAATCCCCAGCACCCCCCCCAAGAAATCTGCTTTTGAATCTTGACCTCAGTGGTCTGGGGGCTTCCCCTGTCACTACRGGGCACGCAGTCAGCAGGTCCCCTGTGGGGGATCAGCCTCCYAGCCCCTCTGGTCTTGCAGAATCTTCTCCACTCTCTTTGGCACCTCTGACTTCCTCCCCCATAAGAAACTCAACTTCTTTCCCTCTAACATAATTCCCTCAACAAACCTAAGCTTTTTTAGGGGGAAAACCCAGGGAAAGGGGCTGTTTACAGGTGTGTCTACTCAAGGTTTCACGTATGAACCTCTTTGGTCAACGTGTTTGAGACAGTTCCAGGGGCCAGAGCAAAGCCCTGGGCAGTAGGCATCATAAGAATTCATTTTCCCACACCTCTGGAGACAGAGTCCAAGATTAAAGTCTCCGTAGTGTCAAGTGGGAAGCCTCTCTCCTTGGCTTCTAGAAGGTTCCCATGGTCTTCTGAATGTGTCTGGGTTCTAATCTCCTCTTATGTAGATGCCAAGTGGATTGGATTAAGGTCCAACCCTCTGACCTTACTTCACCTTAAATTCCTCTTTAGAGGTYGTCTCTAGCTGGGCACCATGGTGCCTGCGTGTAATCCCAGTGACTCAGGAGGCTGAGGCAGGAGGACTACAAGTTCGAGGCCCAGCCTCAGTAACTTAGGGAGACCCTTAGCAATTTAGTGAGATCCTGTCTCA